ATCTAAGGAATATGGGAAAACTCCTTAAAAAAGGTGTTTGGGTGCCTCACGAACTCTCTGATGATCATTGTGTCCAATGTGTGAACGTTCCTTCATCTCTTCTGGTGTGTAATGCGTGTGAACCATTTTTGGACAGAATTGTCACCAGTGATGAAAAATGGATTCTCTATGCAAATATTAAACCCCAAAAACAATGGCTCGGTTTTAGTCAAAAACCACTTCAGACCCCAATACCTGGACATTCTTTGCATTTGGTGGGACATCAAAGGAATAATTCATTTCGAACTCCTTGATTCACAGTGAACTGTCAATGCAGAGATCTACAGTCAGCAACTGGGACATTTAAATCAATCCCGGCAATCGGAAAGGCTTTCTTCTTTACCACGACAATGCATGTCCACATGTGGCACATTTGGCGCAACACAAAAGTATGGAGCTGGGTTGGGAAGTTCCCCCTTACCCACCGTATTCTCCAGATACGCCACCATCAGATTACCATCTTTTTAGTTCACTGCAACACCATCTTAATGGGTAAATGTATGCAAATGTGAAAGGTGTTAAAAAGGACACCGACATGTTTTTTGCTTCAAAGCCAAGTGATTTCTTTAATCAGGGCATTAAAAACCTGATTGTAAGATGGAAAAGCATCATCTATAAGCATGGAGACTATTTCATTTAATAAATGTTTTGTTTTGATATACAAGTTTTTCGGGTTTTTTCATCTAAAAAAAGCGACATTAACTTCTTGACAATCTAATGCAATATCAACTTATGAAACAACACGAAATTAGTCACACAGTATGTGGTTAGTGTTGCTCATGCTACATTTGTCCTACCCAAGAAACACTACTGATATTTTGACTGTTGAAAAGTTACCATAATGAAATATAACAACATATACATTTTAATCTGTAATTCTCAACCAGTTCCTCCACAAGTTTCTTATCCTAACGTGAAACTACAATGCATTTTATATTAAAACCAAGATGATGTTGATATTTGGATTAATCACTTGAAGCTAATAAATCACAAGTTTTGGATATTAAGAATTCAAATAATTTAAAAGATAATTAATACTCATTGTCTATAATCACAGAAACATAATGATTTATGAAACACATGTAACATTTTCTACTATACACAATATTCTGTTTATCAAACCAATTTTTTAAAGAAACAATCTAAAGAAGAAATGATTGAAGTTTTTGTTATTATCCTGATAAAGCCTAGACAATTTTTATACATTTGAAACTCCTTTGTCATAATGTTTCTGTCCTATGATCACTAACTACTTAGCATTTAGTAACCCTATAATATATGTTTTAATTAGACAAAAATGTTATAAGTAAATGTTTTATAGACTACTATTTATACGACAATTACTGTTGTCCTTTTTTTTTATGTCAGATCAGAATACTTCGATATGAATAGTGTATTTACTTAATATCTAGAATTCTCTATATCACATACTACTAAATTCCTTTATTTTTTATCAGAAACAATATCTGTTCATGTTATGAATGTCACATTAAGGAATCTGCACGGAAAGATTCTTAAACATAAATTCAGCTTCACAGAAAGTATCATGAATTGTTACTGACACTTTTTCTAGAACAATGCCTTTAGCATGAGATGCTCCTCCAAAGGGGTTGGCCTTCCATCTGGTCCCAAGATGTGCCTTTTTATAATCCTTATCATGCCAGCGTTGTTCACGGCGATGAGTAACATGTTTTCTTGCTGTTCTAATACCACTTGGCTTTCCTATCGATAAAAAGTTTTCAAGATAATATTTATTTGATGTTTTCTGTTTGTGAATTTGATTTACTACCCAATGAATAATAAATTAAATAAACATTTTATAATCCTTGGTTTATTCATATCAATACTCCAATTACTGACAAAAATAATGCAACTGGAAAAAAAAACTTAAGAAGTTAACAACTAATACCATGGCTGAAAATAATATTTTCAATAGCCCAAAAGAGCTTTGAGAACAGGTTGAAGTTCCAATAAACGTGTAGGAATAAAGACTTCATTTTGGCTTATTTTTTATGCATTTGCCCTCTCTCCTTCACCAAATCACAATGCTCAGTTATTAAGTCATGTTTTTTTTAAAACATAGTAAGTCAGTGGTTCTCAACAATTTTAAATCCAAGAAACTCTACTGGCATCAAATTTGTGTAACAGAACCCTTCACAGTGTTTATTACAAAAAACATACTATATCAATAATTCCAATCAGAGTTTAATTCAGCTATATAAGCAGACACATAGATGCAAAGCATGAAAAATTTCTTGAGCCAATTACTTGGGCACACGCACACAAAACAAGAAGTGTGTTCTCTCAAAAAATAAAAGTTTACATGACTCAAGCACCTAGTCTTGCTCAATAATCTAACAATGCAGTGACTAGTTATGTTGTGTCATTAAGAAACCTACTATACTAATAAAGAAATAGGATGTAATCTGATTGCCATTATGTGACTTATATGTTCATATGGAACCCCTGGATGTCTACTGAGGAACACTGGTGGAGAAGCACTGACCTAAGTGATTAATAGTGAAAACCTAAGTAAAACATTACAGCCTAACCTAAACATGCATTTTAATTGCATATAAAATTATTTTTAAAAGAATGTCATACTTTACACTTCAGAATGAACAACAATGATAACATTACACAAAAGCCTGTCTTATATTTATGTGTATAATGGATATTAATGGTAAAAACACTAAGCAAATTTTATCCATTGGTCTTTTCTTTCTTTAATGATATAAGACACTGGATGTGATAGCCAAACTTGGCAAAAACAAAATGAATTATAAGGTCGATGGAAAAGTTGCACCATAAAAATAAAATACTTATCTGTTAGTTTCTCTTTTCTTACTCAATTAACTCTTTCAACCCAGACCGACCTCGTAACCATTTTGTGTGTGTTATAGTTTTCATGCTACAACTTTTAAATTAGTAAGCGAATGATAAAAAAAATTTGGTAATTTATCAGTAAACATTACAATGCTTTCATATGCAAAATATCTATTTTTTTTACTAAGTCCTAAGGTTTGTAAAGCAACGTCTCTCTCATGCCTTTTTTTCTTTTCACATCTTGCCTATCTATCATGCAGAGTAATATTCATTTTAAGATTAAAAATACTTTTATGCATCAGAAAATTTTGAAATTTCACAAATGCAAAATCTTTAATGTCTAGATATTTATCAAACATTTCTTAAGAAAAAAAGTTTATATTTTATCTGTTATTTTCAGTAATTAATCTCTGTACGGGTTCAGTAGATTTGACCAATCTTGCAACCACCATAAAAAATTAGGAAATAAACATAAATTATGCCTCTTTTATTCTAGAATGAACAAAT